GGAGATTCATTTTATATATATAAAGAAGTTAGTGATACGATGGAAATTATTTTAAAAGATCATCCAATGATTGAAGGACTTTTATACTTTCATTTTGACGTAAGTTTATTCAAAGAAAATACAGGATTTCCCAGAATGGGTGTGAAGTATTTGAATTGTATATGTTAGAAATCGAAATTAATTTTAATTTAAAACTATTTAAATAAATATTTGTTTAGGCTTGGATAAATCCATTCAGATTTGATAATATGAATTTTAATCATATTTGGTTTCCTGATTCAGCTTTACCTCCATTCAGATGTGTAACAAATACAGCAGGATGGGATTGGTGGGCATGGGGCAGTGGATATCATACTATTGCGAAACAAGCGACAGCTAATGTTGCAAAGAATTATTCAAATCGATTTATAACAGATAAAGATGTATTTTGTGGAGGGTAATTGATTTTCTTTAATTGAAGATTCCTGCACGTGTTTTTTTTCTTGATTTTTAGATGGTCTGATATTTATTATATTCCAAGAAGATTTTTTCGAGATTTTATTGATTTAACAAGTGTATTTTATCCAATTCGATCATTTCATGAAGTTGGAATTCCAACTATGATTAATATTATTGATCTTACTCATCGATTAACACCTTCTCATAGTATTGTTACACGAATAGCAGATTGTTGGGGACATTGTTGTCTCGATAATCCAACAGCAACTGAGATTAAAAAACATCGATGTGGTCATAGAATATATTTACCTGATCATCTTGCCAGAAAAGCATTAATTGATCTTTTGGAGTCAGAGGCAACTTATTTTAATAAAACTATTTCAAAAAAAATCAAATAAATAATCAATATGGGTATTTAAAGAAAAGATAGAAAATAATGTTATAATATATTCGAATTGAAATAGAAATGAATAGATTCTTACATGAAAATTCTTCATCTTTAATCGAAATTATTATCTGATAGAAAAAAATGTTTTAAGTTAGAATTTGAAAATAATCAAAAGAAAATCTTATTAAACAAATGTTAATTGAACTTTTTATGTTGAAAATATAATTTCGATTTAATAATAAATTTTGTTAATATTAATTCAATGAATAATTATATTAATAAATCTATTTTTGAATTATTTTTCATAAAAAACTTTATAAAAATTACGAGAGAATGTCTTGAAAGAAAGAAATAGAAAAGTGCGTTAGAATATTTAAATGACAGTTATCATTTTTACATGTTTTCTTTCTTCGTTCAATAAAATATGATTCGAATATATGTCAATTTCTTTTTCTTCTCAGCGCTGAATACGCGACATATACATTTTTTTTTCTTATGCGTGTGATCTAATGTAACTGTAAGTGTGCACATTTTTTATTTTGAAAGTAACAAAAGTTCTCCAAAGCAGAACCTCTAATAATCGATATAGGAGAAAATCTATAGATTATTGGAATTATTAATCAATCTTGTTTATTATTTCTTATAATTATTAAAATATAAAAGATAAAATTCGAATTTTTAATATTAAGATTTCAATGAAGAAAAAAGAAAAAGAAAATATTTTTGTATTTATTTTATTATCAATTGACGTTAATCGAACTTTTAAATTGTTGAATTTTCTTAAGAATATTTTTTCTATGTAATTCATTTTGAATCTGATATTTATTTTGAAGATTTTCATCATTAATATAATTGAGAAGCCAAAATCCATCAACAAAATCATCTTTAAAAGCTTTGGCATAATTTTTATAATCATCACCCAATGATATTAAGCAACTAGAAACATCATCACATGATTGTAATCTTTCACGAAAATGATGTGCTAAAAATAAGAAATCAAAAATATAAATAACTTATAATATATTTTACAGAAAAATCTTCCGATCTTACGCATAGAACAATACAATGACATTCTATCATGTGATAGATGTCGACTGGAATTATTTGATTGTTGATCAGAATGTCCAGGACCATGACTATTAAAAAGTGGTGGTTCAGTTGTATTAGTATGAGAAATTTGTTCTGTTTCTTTGATTGAATGTAATTTATGAGTAGATGAAATAGGATGAAGATCTGATTTTGTAGACCACATTTTAGAAAATAATTTAGCTTTTGGTGAAATATTATCTGTTTGAATAAGTGTTGATTGTTCATTTATATTTCGTTTGTTTTCAATAGATGAATTCTTAGTTTGATTTAATTGTAATTGAGGGTTTAAAGAAGGAAAAGTTGAAGGATATATTCCTTCTGGTCTCCATTGCTCTCCTTCACAAATTAACCATTTACTTACACATTCAATAAATTTAGGAGCATATAAATCTTTCAACCATTTTTCTGGCAAATTTTTGTATCCATAATAAGCACCAGCTAGTTGTCCATATATTGCTGCAGTTGTATCTGTATCATCACCAAGATTAACAGCAGCAAGAACACCTTTTTCAAATGTATCATGAAAATAAAATGCCCATAAAGCAGCTTCAAGTGCATCAACAATATATCCTTTTCCTCTAATACCTTGATCATAACCATTTTTTCCTTTATAAGATCCTTGAGCAATTTTCATAATATTTGGATGTAATGGAATATTATTAAATAAACGTTCATATTTAAAAAAAAAGTTTTTATCAAGTAATTCATCTTTATTTAAACCATGAATAGCAGCAACAATTAAAGCACCATAATAACGACATGCATCAAATGCAATTCGATCACCATGACTTATAACTCCACTGAAACCAGAGAAAGCAACAGCTTCAAGTGGATTTCTATGAAAAAATAATGGAACGGGTGCAAGTCGCATTAGAGCTCCATTACCAGCAACACCTTTTGAACTACAATACACATCAAACTCAGTGAGAAAACTTTGATCAGTAAGATAATCGATTTGTTCGAAAGGAATATTATGGTTTTTAGAAAACTCATGTTGACGACGTTCAAATTCATTTATCGAGTTTTTTGTAGCAGAACCAATATCAAAACATTTTCCTGTTGAAGACATATAACCATCTTTATACCACCATTTATAACGAACTAATTGATCATAAGGAACAAAATCTTGACGAGTTATTAATGAATTAGCAAGACAAAGAGCCATTGATGTATCATCAGTAAACTAAAATAAATATTATTTACAAATTCTAAATCTTTTCTATTTCCTTCATAACGGTAACTATTAAAACTAATAATATTGAATATGAAAAAAGTAACAGAATTATAAAATAATATAAATAGACAATACCTTTCCTTTATCTAGACCCCATGTTCCCCCTCCTTGTAAATCCTTTACTGGATGTTCAACTAGATATTGACGAGGTCGAAATTCAACAGAAGCACCCAAAGCATCACCTAAAGCCATTCCAAACATTGAACCTTGAACACGATCTAAAAGATCATTATCAGCTTCATAAGTCGGAGGATCTATCATTATTTTAGCAAGTTCATCAGGTTTTAATATTAATCCATTTTTATGATATTGACGATCGAGCCAGGTTTTGTCTAAATTGATTTTTAAAAATCAATAAATATATTTAGTAATTTTTTAACTAACCTGTTTGATATCGACATGCATAATGAGTATTTGATTGTGTTGTCATTCCTAACATATAGAAATATATAAGATTATCAATTAGATTAATTTACA